ACTAACACTCTTAAAAACTGAACTCTATTAAAACTATTTTAGAAATATAATAACTATCATAGTAAATAAATAGGAATAAGCAGTGTCTAGAAAAATAGTTAACAAAGTTTGTTTGTTTGATGGCAAATTTGAAGTCAAATGTAATAGGTTAAATCAAAGCGACATTGTAAAGAATAATTAAATTATTGGTTAAAAATGTTAAATATAAAAAATATTTTTAGGTTTTCTAACTTCAAATTCCATTCATGAAATATAAGAAGTATTAATTTTAATTGATCAAGTTGAATTTAATTTAATTGTTCAGATTTCAGAACACAAGTATAAATAATCATGTTAGGTATGTTTGATCAAATATATAAGCTTTCAATTGCTCAAATTTATACCATTTTAAGTGATCAACGTTAATTTTAAATGTTGGAAATGACATTGCCATAACTTATTTAATATACATAGAAGCAATCTAAAGATAGTTATTCTATTTTAGTTGTTATTATATTGTAGTCAGCACTACACTTTAGCACTAAACATACCCTTCATAGGTCTTGGATTTGTTTCATTAATAAATAATTGTTTTTAAAGTAGGAACATACTTAGATTTGTATTTCTGAGTCTAAATATAGGTTTGCTCAAGATTTTTTTATTCATAGTACTGAATCAAATACTGTGTGCGAAATTACTAAGCCTTGTTACCATAAAACTTTAAATAATTTTTGGCTTAGTTATAATATTATCAAACATGTTTTTAAGATACTTTACTTAGAAATACAAAGATATCCCATAAAGTTTTTGTGTGTTTTATGCAAGTTTTTTTATTATTTTCCTTAATTTTACTATAATTAAATTGTTATGCAATATTATTGTGTCAGTACAGTGACCTACCATATCTCCCTATTTACAATTTTAACAGATAACTATTGTATTACAGCCATCAGCGGTAGTTGTCAAGAATGAGGAAGAAAATGACCAATTATTGAAATGTTAAGAAGAGATTAACCCGAGACCACAAATCTATTTTAAAAATTGTATTACCGTGTTTAAGATAATTGTGTACTTCATAATAATTTTTTTGTATCTAATAATATTGTTATATTAATAAAATGATTAATTAAATCTACCATTATTTAATGACTGCCTACAGAAAACGTAGTAACCGAAATGAAAAATATATAAGCCATGTTACTTTGTAGGTTAATAAAAGAACAATATAATAACTAACACATTTAATTTAATGATTATAGTAAACTTTTAACACACTACAAAATAACTTTCAGTTATACAAACTCAAACTTAAGTATAATAAAAACTAATTCTAACCCAGCCTCACATAGAGCTAATCAATAACATCTACTTTATTTTGTAGACAAATATATTTATTTTAATATTATATTTTCTAATTAGTTTGTAAAAAGTAATAGTTATGAACTATAAATTTAAAAAAGCTTAAGTACTTACTACTAATGTTTTTATCCAAAACCTTAATGTTATATCAATATTTATAAAAACTGTGTTATCATTTATTATAAATTGAAGGATAGTCGAAATTCAATAATTTGAAAATGTCTGCACTATTGTGTCTTTCTATATCCAGGGGCCTTGTCTTCTTCAAAGGCAGAATGTAATTTTTCTACCAGGAATTTTGAACATTTGGATCTCTGAAATTATTAGATTTATAATTTTAGTATAGTAGAAAAATACAAATATTTTACAAAATTTACCTATCTTAACTTATTTATCGTTTTCTGTTCGACTTATCTCTGCTGGAGACAAGACATGATCAAGACTGCATCAAAAAATTGGTTCTAGGATAAAAATGATATTTTTAATGCTAAAATAATCAAAATGCTTACCTTAGTATATCTATTTACTAGTCTCTTCGTTCATCTCAGCAGCATATGTTCAAGGTTTCGTCAATACCATATAATTTCTTGGGTATTGGAAAAAAGCGATAGTAACCAACGCCGAGAAACCAATTGGTCGTTTCGTGGCTACAATTTCTTCGCCATCTATAGATATTATATTAAGTATTTTTAATGGTTTACATCATTTATTTCATGAAATAGAGGTTTAAGCTTTTAAAGTGGAAACGGGCCTTCTGTAACAATAACAAAGTTCTATTTCACGAAGCCTAATGCTTATATATATAATTTTTTTCGTAAAATATAGCTGCATTGATAAATATTCAATTCAATTTCAAAAATTCTTTATTTTGTTTTACAAAAATTTATCGTGCTACATATCCAGTGTACATTATTTATAAATATTATTTTATAAACTTACCCCAACAATCAACATACATATAGATTGTCCTATGTTAGAATATTTTCACATAAAACAAGTTTTAACTTCGCTAAAAATGGCTACCTCACTGGTAAATCACGATTTCAGCGAGGGAAGAGCAACTTTTAATTTGACGTAAAGAATCTACATTTAAATGAGATGAGATGTCAAATGGTATGTATCAGAATACCAAATACCAACAATTATGGAGCGTAAGTGTAGCAGTGCCAAAATTTAGTTCCAAATGTGAACAATCTCATTTGAGCGGCGCTTTTGTCGCGGTTATTGTTTATCAGAATACCAAATTGTAACATGACACCGAAACGAACGATTTGACAGCAAAAATCAGCGCTGAGAGTGTGTGAAGCGAGTTACAGAATCGCAGGGCAGATTTTAAGTTAATGTATATGAATAGAGTTATGCCACTACGCTTGGGATTGAAGTTAATTGGTGTAATTTATTTTTACTGAAATGCATTTTCTTAGTTAATTTTGTGTCAATGTATAGTTTTGTTAGTGGAAGTAAGAGTAGGATAAAAAAGAGGATTTCTATTCATTAATTTAAAATCTAATAACATATGACATAATTTTCACAGTTTGTCATAAATATAAACTTTAAGTGATGAGATTACGGAAGGCTACTTTTGACATCTATTTTGACCGACTTATAAAACAAAAGTTGTGTATAGCTCCATTTTATTTAACTTGAATAAATTATGTAGTTTATCATTTATTTATGAACACTTTGTTAGATATAAGCATGTTGATTAAACTTAAGTTTTTTAGTAAAATAAATAAATAAAAAAAACTCTCATCTCTGTGCATCAATAAACTATCTTTCTATGTGCGCATTTTACATTCGCTCGAACGGTGAAGGAAACCATCGCGAGGAAACTGGCTTGCCTAAGACCCAAAAAGTCGATAGCATGTGTCAGGCACAGGAGGCTGACCACCTACTTGCCCATTAGATTAACAGATGATCATGAAACAGATATATAAATCCGAGGCCCAGACCTAAAATGGTTGTGGTGCTACTGGTTTATTCAAGTTTTATAAACTTAACTACTTACTAAATTTAAGTTAACTACTAAATAGAAATATCAATAAGTGACAATCTTACGATAGAAAAGTGTTGCTAGATATGTATGATCGTTATCTATACTTGAGAATATGTCCCTCGCTCATAGCTGAAGCAAGTTTTTGCAACTTTTTTAACTAAATAGTAAAGTCTATAAACGGGAATCATCTTACCATTAATGTAATTCAATAGGATTGACAAAATTCTTTATCCGATACAGTTAATTTGATAGCTTTTTAAACACAGTTAGTAATAAACGTACGACCAACCAGGCTCCAGAAGAAACCACTCCTTATATGGAAAATGTATTCGTTCTTACAACAAACTCCCAAGCGAAGTTAGAGAATTATCACTGAATTAATTCAAAGCTCTCATAAAACCTAAATTATTCAATAAACCTTTTTATAAATTTGACGATTATAATCTTAATATATATAAATTACGTGTCACGTTGTTTGTCCGCTATGGACTCCTAAACTACGGAACCGATTTCAATCAAATTTGCACACCGTGTGTAGTTTGATCCAACTTAAAAGATAGGATAGCTTACATCTCAATTAATACCCGCAATATTATTTTATTGCAAAATATTTGTTTATTATTTGAAAGTCACAATTCTAACAGATGGCGCTGTGTTGAAAGTACCACACAAGCTACAATTTAATGGCATAACCACCAAAAAAGCATGGTGGTCCCCATGACTGGTGTTCTCCTACCGTTTCCCTTGAATAGGTTACTACTTACTACTATGTAATATAACTAAAACCTTGGCCACAGCAACGCTTGGCCGGTCTGCTAGTTATATATATATTAATATATCCTTGGGATTGGTTTGCTCCAGTTCTAATATTTATAACTGCTATGCCTTACAAACAGGTTGTATGACTCAAAACATGGCGATTAAAAAGAGTGGCGGAAGGTTTCTTGTCAGTTCTCCTTGCCCGCTCTACGCCCTTGACTTGCGTGCTGGTAGTAAATGTTAATTGAGAATCTTTTCTGTTGACGTTCATAAGTGTACTTGGTTACCTATATGAATAAAGTTATTGAATAAAAACCTTTACTGTTTATACAGTAAACCTTTCTATAACACGCAAGATTCATACCGCGTTATAGGAAATGCGTTGGAGGTGTATTCTCGCATAACGCACTTGTATGATATACCGCTTTATCTACAAATGATTCACAACTTTTCTCGTTAAAGGGTATTTTAAATCAAAAATTAAAAAAATCATTATAAATGTCATAGTACAGAAATATAACGTGTGCCATCCCCGCGTTATATGATGAAAAGTGTATGAAAAAGATTTTTTTTAATTGTCTCTCCACAAAGACATAAACCACGATCTAGCCTAACTTAAGACTAATAAGTAATTTAAGTCTAACCTAATTTACTAAAAAGCATATTTATCATAAGAAATGGTCCAATAACACTACTTTTAAGGGGATGTATGTAGGGGACACGGTAGCATATCGGGCACGCGTTTAGGTAGATCAGGCAGCAGGCTAGTGTCAAACCTCCCCTTTCATAAAAAGGAACTTAATTTGCCTGAACTTATGCCTGATGGGATTGGCGACTCCCGTCGGGCTCTACTTAATTTCACTACTTACACGTGAAACTTAATAAATAAAAAAAAAACTTTTTTCAGTCCAATAGATCCGCATGTGACGTCATACTGCGTAGTGGCATCCCACAGGAAGAACTACACTTCACTGTGCGCAGCCCAGTACGACACCAGTGTCTGTAGCAGACGGTATCAAGAACCAAACGAAACTCGCAAAACCCGATACAATACGTCGCGAGACTCCGAAAACTCTATAGAGCTCGACAGATTTGACATATTTGAGGGGAATTTCAAGAATGTATTTCGGAGGAAGAAGTTTGGTAAGTAAAAAAAAATTCATCATAATACACACCAGCGGTGTTGGCTTCAGCGTATGACTCTGATGTAGGATGCAGGTCCATGGATTCCGACCCGTACAGTAATCCAAACCATTGTGAGGGAATTTCACATTGGTAGAGGGGGGAAACAATCGAGCCTTAAATAAAGCGATAACCTGCAAGGCCGGGTGCAAGCGTGTGTGTTACCGACCTTTCAGGTAATGCTACTCTCCCTTGAAGGCCCTTAAGTTGTATTGGTTTGGAAATGCCTCTACAGCTGGATCCACAAAGAGGTGGTCGGCAGAAAGTGCTTTAAAAGGCGCTGTGTTGTGGAATGCCAGCCGTCGAGGTGCAGAGGATGGATTTTGTTAGGCATACACGACCAATTGATACAGACATACATATATACAGATGGTTCTTTTATTGACACAATAATATGTTTAAACTAAATATAATGGTTAAACCTTTTTGTATAATACAGTTAATAAAGGCATCATCAGCAACGTACATTATATGTTGGTACAATGATTCTATTTGCAAACTTATCTTCTGCGTTCGTGGTGTTCGCTTCGGAATAATGTTGGCTTATAATAAATACATTCGCAGGTCGCAGCACAAGAGTGTCCAGTGATGATCCCATGATCGCCTGCGTCGGCGACAGAACTCATCATCTCATAGAAAACTTGGACCCCAGCACGGTATACCTATAAGAGCTTATATGTTTGAACGAAACATTTTAACTATTTTAATGACTAGATACCAGCCAACATATAAGGTGCAGCTTATATGTTGTGTGACCCTTAGTGTGAGCTTAAGCACACACTAAGCATTTCCGCGGAGCCCGGAACCTTGAATGAGCAGGGTACAGACTCGCTTCAACATCCTTGGCCAGAATCCGTGGACTGGCGGACCCTGTATTTGCAAGCTTAAATATTAAATTATTTATTTATTTTTATTTATTTATTTATTGCATTTTAGGAAGATTTACAGTTCTTTAACAGAAGGTAAATTATGATTACAATAAAATAAAATCAGTACTAATTACAAATCCCCACCTTTAGATAATCTATAAATACCTTAGGGAGATAGGAAGAAAAAAAATAACATTTATGTATTTATACTTTTTCTTTACAGCTTTTTGGTTCTTCGGTGTCCTTTACCTAAATTGAATTATAGCCTTATTTCAGACCTACTATGTAAGCATATTTGGCATAGCAAGAGACCGGAGAGCTGGATCTCTTCTAGCAACAGGCAGTGTGCGACCGAGGACATCCACAGCGAAGCGGTTGAAAGAAAATGTTCCGCTCAAAACAAATATCCGGGGGAAAACTGTATATTATTTTAAAGTAAGATACTATTATATAAAACTAGAGCAATAAATAAAATCTGTTGAACTTATGATCTTTATATCAAATATATAAAATTCTCGTGTCACAGTTTTCGTTGCCATACTCCTCCAAAACGGCTCGACCGATTCTCATGAAATTTTGTGTGCATATTGGGTATGTCTGAGAATCAGACAACATCTATTTTTCATCCCTCTGAATGTTAAGGGTAGTCCACCCCCTAAATATTTTTTTTATTTTTAGATAGTTTTTTCTGTTTTTATTTTTTTATGATACAGCATTAAAAAATACATACAAACCCCTAACTTTCACCCCTCTACGATCAACCCCTATTTTTTTATTATAAATGATATATATGGCAAAACGACTTTTGCCCGGTCAGCTAGTCTAATATATAAAATTCTCGTGTCACAATGTTCGTTCCCATACTCCTTCGAAACGGCTCGACCGATTCTTAAGACATTTTTTATGCATATTCAGTAAGTCTGAGAATCGGCTACTATGTATCTTTTAAACCCCTAAATTTTTATTTTTTAGATAATTTTTTTAAAAATGTATCATTACAGCATACAAAAATACATACAACCCTTAATTTTCACCCCTCTACGGTCAACCCCTATTTTTTATTGCAAAACAAACGTTTGCCGGGTCAGCTAGTATATTTATAATAATAAAATTTACAATTAATAAATGTGAACATAATTTCAGACTGGAGTGGGCTTTGGAAGTGGCATGTGGTTATCAATGACAACGTGTGGAGGATCCGTTGACGTTGAAGTAATTGTTAAAGGGAAACGCCTGTATGCAATCAAAGATATAGGTAGGTTGGTTTATACAAATACTTTTTAACTAAAACCTCTTTACTGAAAAAAAGTAAATTTATTATTTTTACCTGTTACTCGACTGACTTATGAAATAGGCAGCGATGACGTATGAAATGTAACAATCACTTTGTTATTCAATCATTTCTTGTATGTTCCCTTCCCAATAACTATTTTTAATAAATATTTAGTGTATGGACAAATTTTACCAGCGCTGAGCCATAATGAAACGAAATACAAATTTCGTCGCATTATTGCATATTTTAATCACAGGCAATTAATTAAAACTGTGAAATTAATAATGGTTCCGTTATCTGTTTTAAACCATTACATAATATGATATAGTACATAATATAATCTAAAGTGACGACTGACGACTCATTGGTCTAGTGGTTAGTACCCCTGACTGCGAATCCATGGGTCTCGGGTTCGATCCCCGGCTGAGACGAACATCGATGTGATGAGCATTTGGTGTTGTGCTTAGGTCTTGGGTGTTTAAATATGTATTTATATGTCTATCTATCTATAATATGTATGTATATCCGTTGCCTAGTACCCATAACACAAGCTTTACCAGCTTAGCATGGGATTAGGCCAATTGGTGTGAATTGTCTTTAAAAATAATAATAATAATAATCTAAAGTGAAAATATTTAAACGTTAGGCCAATAATAAGAGTAGAATTAGGACTTTACCGACAATTCAATTCTTGATTCAAATAGTTTAATTCTTTTTATTTTATTGTTTGTATTATCACTGTTTTTGTATTTACTTGTTTCGCTGCCCGTATGTTGTAGAGACAAAAAGTTATTTAAAAAAAAACCAATAAAAAATCCTGTAACCTGTGTCTTTTCCTAAGTACCTATATGATGACCCTCTAGAAATGGTATACCTATCAAAAACTTCAAATTTTGATGAAACTGTTTTTTTATGTAGCAGGAGGCCAACAGGCTAACCTGATGTTTAGTGATTCCACCGCCCATGGAAGTGTCCATGGACGGTGGAAGAAGGCACATTGCCAGAAGGCTCGCAAGTGCGTTGCCGGCTTTTTGAGAATTGGTACGCTCGAAGAAACTTGGACAGTTCCTAAGATGGAATAAATCTGATTAATGTATCATCTCAATATAACTAAGGATAAGATTCATTAACGCTCCTAACTTCCGTCAAAATTGTATTGAATTTTGATTTATAGTCTTCGGAAGTCTCGTTTCTGAATCACCCTTACTATCACACATTCGAGCACAGATCATGAAACGTTAACCTTTTTTGACAGTTAGCCATTCGAAGTTCTTCATACCGGCTCCTATCTTGGGATCCTCAATACAAGAGACGAGCGATGAAGGATCTGTTCAATTCGACTCCAGTTCTGAAGAAGCTAAAATTCGATATGTTGTGCGCGTGATACCAAATAGGTTGTATAGAGATGGTTCAGTTACTGTAGAGGTAAGCATATTCTTTTATCTATGCCTAGAATTTATCAATAAAAAGCTAGCCGTGGCTTTGCATATCGGTCGTAAAGAGGAGTGAAACTTTCCTTCCATCTTCCCTTGACAGTAGAATATGGGTGCATTTAAGCGGCGATCAAATAGTCTACTACTGGACAGGCAGTCCAATAGGCCACATCTGACTTAACATCAGGTGCAATTGTGGCCTAACGTCTAACGTCGTAGGAAATATTTAAGAAATAAGACACGTGTAAGAATGACGTGACTTACTCGTACGAATCAGCGCTAACCAGAACTTCCTCCACAAATACCGAGGGGGAGTTTTTTTAAGAAGCTTGGGGCCGGCAATATTATAGAAATTGAATCAGGCGTCTCCTGCGATCTACACGCAATGATCAGCGCCAACTCCTAGAGCATTTTCCTCCTAAATAATATATAGTCAAAGTAACACAATGTACACTTATGAACATCAAAAAAATAAATATAAGTACATTAAATGCTTCTAATTTTATATTTACTGCCAGTTCTCAAATCAAGGGCATAGAACGGAAGAGTTAATCGCCAAGTTTTTTTGTTTTACACAACGTTTGTAAGAAGCTGCAACCATTACACCATGTTCCACATGACATCTTAAGTAATAATAAAATAAATTTAAAACAAAGATTTATCTCTCTATGAGCAGGAGGCATAGTGAAATAGGAGCACGCACTTACATTCTCGTGGGATCAACACGCAAATATATATCATATAATACCGTAAAAATCCCCCAGAACATGTTGATTCCCACTTAATTTGGGGGGGGAAAACCGCCAAGTTGGCATCACTGTCTACACGCATTACTTTAGCGCATGAAACAATCAAGCACTATCAAAATAATGACTAACAAGAATATGTAATTAGTTGACAGCTTCCACTACAAGATGGGGCGCTAGTACACCGGAATTGCTGGAAGATGGCGTGAGGGAGCTACGACCGAGGCGATCTTGCAAGTCTGTGGACGTGGCCTTTCTCCCAGCGATTCATAATGCCACTGATGTTATAAGGTATAAAATTATAATTCATTTTAATATTCACTGTAGTGCATAATTTTTACGATAGCAAGCTTACCCATAACCGACCATAGGGGTTCATTTCATTCAAACAGCCAGGTACAATCTGGAGCTCGAGACTGGCTTGAGGGTGTCCCGGGGACGCCAAGCCCACCTAGTTTAAGTAAAAAAAGTCCCTTTTTTAGTAAAGGGGTGATTTGACACTCCCCTGCTGCTTTATTATATTATCTTATTAACACTTTTTCAGATATTGCATAATAGCGCGTGAAACATCGCAAAACGACGGATTTATCTGCGCACTGTCAAAGAGATTCGCAACCAAAGCACAGTGTATTAGCCACATGCAACGAACGCCGTAAGTTAGTTTAAAATCTTGACTAAGCTCCAGCTTTGAGAGCAGTGTTGGCCTAGTGGCTTCAGCGTGCTACTCTCATCCCTGAGGTCGTAGGTTCGATCCCCGGCTGTGCACCAATGGACTTTATTTCTATTATTTAACACTCGTTCGAACTGTGAAGGAAAACATCCTGAGGAAACCGAAACCTTGGACCCAGGCACAGGAGGCTGATCACCAAGTAGTCTATTAGATTTACAAATGATCATGAAATGTTTACAGAAATCTGAGACCCAGACCTAAAAAGATTGTAGCGCCACTGATTTATTTTTATAAGCAGCATTGAACCCGTGTATATAGGTAATACCGCCTTCGTGGCTTTGTAATTAGCGCTAATGGCATATCACCCGATCCTTAGTTCCCGTGCATAAATGAGACCCCGGGCATATGTGTTACTGCCCTAAATGAGGGCAAACAATGCTCCTACAGATGTGTTTTATCTATAGAAAATGATTATTTTTATGTGTTATTTTCAGAACCAGAGCAATAGTACAAAAAGTCTTCGGTTTAAAGTCCGGTCGCAAATATGCCATTCAAGTGGTCGCATCTACGAAGGGCAGTCCGGTACCATACAAGGTGTTATATGCAGACACAAACGCGTCGTGTAAAGATTAATGTTTAATAATAGTGTGTCATAAATAGTGAATCAGTATTAGTTAATTAATTAAGCTTTTTGTCGCTGTTTTGTGTTTTTAACGAAATCATGAGATGGCAACACCATAACACGTCAACAGACTATGAAACGCAACGAAAATGGAGACGCCTCAAGTCTTCAAAGAAGTCAAATTTTAAAGAACAAACTAGGGGGTTTATTCAAGATGCCTTAACTGAACTGTATGTAGTGGAAAACTAAATTTGTATGAAAATTTGTCGACACGAACTGTCATTTTCATACAAATTAAGTTTTCGACTTTCTACATACACTAATGCTAGCAAGGGCCCTAGCCAAAAACATTACGACATGCGTGACACAATTACATTAACTTGGTCACGTGACCATTTTCATACGAATTTCTTTGGCGTTGGTAGTTCACGCCTATTGCATTTGTCACGGGCCCCATATCAGATAACTCAAATCAAAATTTATTTCATATTTTGAAATAAAGAATGCTTTAATATTTTTTACTGTGCCATGAAAGGTGTCTATAAAACCGCTTTTGTAATTAAAAAGAATTAAATGTACTTAAATAGTTAAATACTACAAAGTACCTCCTATAAAAATAAAATGCTTTATTGGTAGGCATGATATAATGTATTGAGTTTTTCATTTAAATTAATGTGTTTTTATTTTAGTAATATTGTATTCTTTTAAAAATAACTTTACAATAATTTATTGTCATCTATTATCCCGCCTACACCTTTTATATAATTAATATTACATTTTTTAACGTAACATGATAATAATCTAAGTATTTATGTAAATTGTGGCATTTATTGATTATATGTTTGAACAAACTGTAAGTTCCTACTATATTTACGTGAAAATTTAATATTTTAATATCTATTAGTATTTAGAACAATAAAATGATTTTTATATCCCAACAAATGTTTGATTTATTGAGGCTCATACTATACTACTAAACTTATTCAGTTATATAATGACATCCGATAAACACTGCTCAATTAATATAAAATTAAACTATTTCTTAGTTCAATTTTATATAATATAATGTTTATTTAGTTTTTTTTTCAAAACAACAATTTTGAATTTATATGGCTACAGTTACTAAAAGCAAAAGACAAAAATATTCGTAATACCCATGACTCATCAGACATTATGTCCTGACGCCTGTTCTCTCTAAATACATTCTCTATATAACTACCAGCCCTGCGATTCTGTAACTCGCTTCACACACTCTCAGCGCTGATTTTTGCTGTCAAATCGTTCGTTTCGGTGTCATGTTACAATTTGGTATTCTGATAAACAATAACCGCGACAAAAGCGCCGCTCAAATGAGATTGTTCATATTTGGAACTAAAATTTGGCACTGCTACACTTACGCTCCATAATTGTTGGTATTTGGTATTCTGATACATACCATTTGACATCTCATCTCATTTAAATGTAGATTCTTTACGTCAAATTAAAAGTTGCTCTTCCCTCGCTGAAATCGTGATTTACCAGTGAGGTAGCCATTTTTAGCGAAGTTAAAACTTGTTTTATGTGAAAATATTCTAACATAGGACAATCTATATGTATGTTGATTGTTGGGGTAAGTTTATAAAATAATATTTATAAATAATGTACACTGGATATGTAGCACTATAAATTTTTGTAAAACAAAATAAAGAATTTTTGAAATTGAATTGAATATTTATCAATGCAGCTATATTTTACGAAAAAAATTATATATATAAGCATTAGGCTTCGTGAAATAGAACTTTGTTATTGTTACAGAAGGCCCGTTTCCACTTTAAAAGCTTAAACCTCTATTTCATGAAATAAATGATGTAAACCATTAAAAATACTTAATATAATATCTATAGATGGCGAAGAAATTGTAGGCACGAAACGACCAATTGGTTTCTCGGCGTTGGTTACTATCGCTTTTTTCCAATACCCAAGAAATTATATGGTATTGACGAAACCTTGAACATATGCTGCTGAGATGAACGAAGAGACTAGTAAATAGATATACTAAGGTAAACATTTTGATTATTTTAGCATTAAAAATATCATTTTTATCCTAGAACCAATTTTTTGATGCAGTCTTGATCATGTCTTGTCTCCAGCAGAGATAAGTCGAACAGAAAACGATAAATAAGTTAAGATAGGTAAATTTTGTAAAATATTTGTATTTTTCTACTATACTAAAATTATAAATCTAATAATTTCAGAGATCCAAATGTTCAAAATTCCTGGTAGAAAAATTACATTCTGCCTTTGAAGAAGACAAGGCCCCTGGATATAGAAAGACACAATAGTGCAGACATTTTCAAATTATTGAATTTCGACTATCCTTCAATTTATAATAAATGATAACACAGTTTTTATAAATATTGATATAACATTAAGGTTTTGGATAAAAACATTAGTAGTAAGTACTTAAGCTTTTTTAAATTTATAGTTCATAACTATTACTTTTTACAAACTAATTAGAAAATATAATATTAAAATAAATATATTTGTCTACAAAATAAAGTAGATGTTATTGATTAGCTCTATGTGAGGCTGGGTTAGAATTAGTTTTTATTATACTTAAGTTTGAGTTTGTATAACTGAAAGTTATTTTGTAGTGTGTTAAAAGTTTACTATAATCATTAAATTAAATGTGTTAGTTATTATATTGTTCTTTTATTAACCTACAAAGTAACATGGCTTATATATTTTTCATTTCGGTTACTACGTTTTCTGTAGGCAGTCATTAAATAATGGTAGATTTAATTAATCATTTTATTAATATAACAATATTATTAGATACAAAAAAATTATTATGAAGTACACAATTATCTTAAACACGGTAATACAATTTTTAAAATAGATTTGTGGTCTCGGGTTAATCTCTTCTTAACATTTCAATAATTGGTCATTTTCTTCCTCATTCTTGACAACTACCGCTGATGGCTGTAATACAATAGTTATCTGTTAAAATTGTAAATAGGGAGATATGGTAGGTCACTGTACTGACACAATAATATTGCGTAACAATTTAATTATAGTAAAATTAAGGAAAATAATAAAAAAAACTTGCATAAAACACACAAAAACTTTATGGGATATCTTTGTATTTCTAAGTAAAGTATCTTAAAAACATGTTTGATAATATTATAACTAAGCCAAAATTATTTAAAGTTTTATGGTAACAAGGCTTGTAATTTCGCACACAGTATTTGATTCAGTACTATGAATAAAAAAATCTTGAGCAAACCTATATTTAGACTCAGAAATACAAATCTAAGTATGTTCCTACTTTAAAAACAATTATTTATTAATGAAACAAATCCAAGACCTATGAAGGGTATGTTTAGTGCTAAAGTGTAGTGCTGACTACAATATAATAACAACTAAAATAGAATAACTATCTTTAGATTGCTTCTATGTATATTAAATAAGTTATGGCAATGTCATTTCCAACATTTAAAATTAACGTTGATCACTTAAAATGGTATAAATTTGAGCAATTGAAAGCTTATATATTTGATCAAACATACCTAACATGATTATTTATACTTGTGTTCTGAAATCTGAACAATTAAATTAAATTCAACTTGATCAATTAAAATTAATACTTCTTATATTTCATGAATGGAATTTGAAGTTAGAAAACCTAAAAATATTTTTTATATTTAACATTTTTAACCAATAATTTAATTATTCTTTACAATGTCACTTTGATTTAACCTATTACATTTGACTTCAAATTTGCCATCAAACAAACAAACTTTGTTAACTATTTTTCTAGACACTGCTTATTCCTATTTATTTACTATGATAGTTATTATATTTCTAAAATAGTTTTAATAGAATTCAGTTTTTAAGAGTGTTAGTAAAAACATAGGTAATATTGTTGTTGTGTGTTTGACCTCTGAATCACTTAAAAAGGTTGCAATAGTAGTTTCGTGGCATCTAAAAAGTACCAACACTTGCACTTACACAAATGAATAAATATATAAACACAAATTTTTACTTTTAATTTATAATTACTCAACAAAATATTATATGAAAACATTGGTATTACCTTTAGTAATATTTTGAAAATTTAAGATACCTATCCATCCTGTTTAGTTTGAATCCTTAGACCATTCTACCATCTTTTTGTTAAGATAATATTCTTAAATTTTGTACAATATATCCAGATGTTAGGTATCCCTTGTTTCGTGCTGAAACATAATTAATATTTTTAAGTTTCTGTCGCTCATATACACCACGGCTGGTCGAAGTATAAACTCTTAATTGGAAGTTATAAACAAAATACGTAACTTACGATTTACTAATAAATAAACTTACTACTCACCTTTAAGCGGCCCCATTGCCAGATGGGTTTTTTATAATTTTCCTCGCTATGCTTTGGTTAAGCATATTTCTATATTAATCTTGCTAATTATTTTCCATCCGATAAATCATTTTTGAGATATTTTCACAGTTTATCTTTTTTTTAATATTCTTCATTTTATTTCAAACGTCGACCATTTTGTTTTATTAAAAATATTTTGTTTATATATGATAAAATTTTTGACAATTAACTCTTTTTATAAATATAATGAGTCAATTGTCACGATATTAATAGACAACAACTCACTAGGTTCACTCCCTCCACTTATTAAGACGTAATGTAAAATTTCTTAACAGAATACCATGAGATTCCAAAAATTACGTGAGTGACGAAGGGAGCGCTGTTAGTGCGTAGTGGACTCACGGATTAACAGTGAGTTACAGAATCGCAGGGCAGTTATTGTATTTTTTTTCATAACATATTACAATTTTAGTCATGACAATATTATGATGTTAGCATTGGCATTTTACTTTTGAGGACCCGGACAGCTGTAACTGTCAGCTGACTGACAGTAACATTGACGACTGTTGTTTGGAATCAAGGAATAAAGTCACAAGTGTGAAGTTCAGAATTTTGTTTAATTTAAACTGGAATAATAATTGAAGCTACCTTAGTATTTAGTATACAATTCTTCATTACGCGGAAAAGCAATATATCACTCATAAGTTATGTAATAATGTCTTCATCCGACAAACAGTTTTTCGGGCCCCTAACACTGCATCAAAAGGTGGATAAACCAAGTGTTTTTAAGAACGACGATCCAGAGGAATGTGCCTGTCTTCTTTGTGATGAAAAATACATCTTACCTACTTCTGAGAAAGATTTGCTTACACATTTGTTCATGAAGCACCGTCTCGTTATTGCAGATGTCAACCAAATAGCCGATCTTCCAAACTACATACATTTTTGGAAGTCAAGATTTAAAGGTACTTTTTTTAACTTTATTCAAATAACGTATTAGTTCTAAATTACATACAAAGGTTAAAATTACTTAATGTATGCTACATTGTGCTTCTTAAAGTTGACCTTAGGTCTAGGTAACATTTGCTCACAGTATATTTATTTTTCTATATATTTATAAAAGCTGAAAGCTTTCACTTACATTTATAATTAGCTCGAACACTGCAAGTTATGAAACATTCTCAACACCTTTTAACTTATTAAAATTACTTTTTAATGTACATATTTTTCAGATCAAAACCTGCCATTTTTCTGTACAACTATGCTTTTGGATAACAAACCTGATGGTACTAAGTCCAAAAATGAAGAATACTTTCTACTAAGTGATGTTTTACCTGAAGATAAGGAAATAAGGTCAAATCTCAGACAATCAAAACTGGAAAAACTTCTAGAAAGGCATGCTTTTGAGAGAGAGGACAGAAACTATCTAAAGGAGTGTTTATTTTGTAGGTATATCTCAAATGACACTAGAGCTAACTATTTGAACCATTTATACGAAAAACACAATTTTCACATTGCTAAGCCAGATAATCTCATATTTATTGATGATCTTGTAGACTTTTTATCAACAAAATTAGAAGGATTGCAATGCATATACTGTGAAGGCTTATTTAAAGATAGGACAATACTTAAAGAACACATGCGTAAGAAGGGTCATAAGAGAATAAATGCAGCAAATAAAGACTATGATAAATTCTTTCTTGTTAATTATATTGGTGAAAAGCAAACCAAACCAAAGTTGTGTAAGCCATATACATCAAAAGTACAGAAGCAAGACGATATTGATTCAAATGTTGATAGCGATCCTGAATGGTCAGAATGGACTGAAGAAGATTGTCCATTAATAACCTGCCTTCTATGTGAACATACAGAAAATGAATATGAAAACATATTGGAACATATGAAATGCCTACACGAGTTTTCTTTTACAGAAACCACAAATGGAATGGATTTCTATCACAAAGTGAAAATAGTTAATTATATCAGACGCCAAATACTTTTAAAGCAATGTTTATCATGTGATACTAAATTTGATGATCAAAAGAACTTTGAAAAGCATATTAAAGAGACAAATCATTGGGTTCTAAAAAAGGAAAAGTGGGATCAGCCAGAATACTACTTTCCGACATATGAAGATGATTTGTTCCTATGTTTTATTCATGATGATGATGAAAGTTGGTGGTCTAGTGATGAACAAGAAGCTAATAAAACAAATAGTATGTCTGAAAGTATATCTAAGGAGATGGCTATGGCTGTGCTCAGTGATTGAAATGTCAATTTATATCAAAGTGTGTTCACAATCTGCTGAACCAACTTTCATGGCAATTGAAGGCATTGGAATCAATATAATTAACAATTCAGTAGTATTCTATAGCCTTTTAAATGATTTTCTATGCTATATAGTTAGAACTAGAGAAGTGCAGACTGTCATAGCTTAGAATTCTTCAGCCTCCAGCTTGCAATAAGATTATGGTTGTATATTTCATGAAGAATAAATATATTAAAAGCATTATTGATTATTAATTGTGAGTTTTAAATATAATAATATTGCCTATTATTAATGGTTTCATTTATATTTTTGTGTTAGTATTGTTGCAAGACATAAGATCTTACTAACATTCCTGCCTTTTAATTCACATACTTTTAGGTACATTTAAACACATTTATATTTCAATCTTCTTTCAGGTATCTGTGTATCAAATTGAGAAATTATATTCTTTGCTATCTTCTAAAATTTGCCTTACTAGGAAGATATGGCCTGTTGTCAAATATTCGTTCCAGAAACCTGCCTGCTCCTATAGGTTGGTTGGCATCTAGGATTTTACTAAGTCTTTGTAGAATTATTTTAGTGAATACTTTGTATACATTTGTTATAGAGCTTATGGGCCTGTAATTACTAATTATGTTAAATCCGCTTGTTTATATTTAATAACTAGTTACGACCCAGAATTAAATATAAACAAGCGGATTAAACATAAAGTTTGCTGTTGTATTACACAATGGACAACTTCTTTCTTGCAAAGATTCTTTGGTTTCCTAGGCTGTTACTTGTATAATAAATTAAATGAAAAAATTAACATTTACCCACTATCTAAATATGAATGTAAAAAAATGGTTACTACTTGGCTGAAGACGTTGAGTTATGATGAAACAGAAGATTTAATAACTGTTACTCTGTAACACACCCACTCCCCCACACATATACACACACCCACGCACGCACACACGCACCCAGAGAGAGAGACACACACGCGCGCGCGCACACACACACACACAAACACACACCAAATTTATTTTTACGACTCCGTTTGCAATATTTTCTTTTAGCACTTACTTATTTTCTTCTATTGTATCTTATGACAATGACCTGATTGTACGTGTTCCGGTCCGGTGGTGGAGAGGCTGGCTATCTGTCACTCAGGTTAGTATAAGATCCCGATATACAACGACCTTCACCGAGATGCTTTAATTTAAATTTTTTTTAATATTAATTAAAACACTCTGGACTGATATTTGCTAGGCAACCCATATGGATTATATTTATTGACATATTAAATTAAATATAAAATACGTTTCATTAAATAAGCATCTCGGTGAAGGTCGTTGTATATCGGGATCTTAGACCAGGTCTCCTGTTACAGAGACCAGTCTCTCACATACACTTCTTAATGTTATCATCTTAGTTTAATCATAATAACCTTGTATGTATAATGTATATGTGAGAGAAGAAATAAAGATTATTATTATTAATTGTTCATGTCACTCTTATCTCCTTTTTTATGTATGAGTGATATCGTCGAGTTTGCCCATTGTTCCGGTATTGATTCCGTTCTGACTATCTTATCAAAAAGAATTGTGAACGGTGCCTTCCTTAATAAAGAAATCACCTACCAGCCAAAGTATGTTGAACAAAAGTATGTTTATTTTTGTGCAATAAGCGGGTTGAACGTGCGACTCTCATTACTGAAGCCGTACGTACGAATCCCGGTTGTTCATCCAAGGAGCTTCCGCCTATGTGCCGCACTGAAACGGTAAAGAAAAACATCGTAAGACCTTGGATTCAAAAAGTCGACGGCGTATGTCAGGCACAGAAGTCCAATAAAAAAAACAAAGGATTACGAAACAAATACTGTTATTGAAGGCCGAGACAGGGGTTGTAGCGCCACTGACTGAAATTAATTTTCATTGATTAAGTTGTTATTTAGTTTGTCATTATTATACGCCCTTAGTACGTTTTGAAATAGTTTAGCGGTGTCAGACGACCTAAATACAATGCCAAATATTTAAATAATTCTGGTCCCTTATAATAGACAATTGACTGTATTATTCAAAATGGAGTCTTCCGTCTAATAACGGATTCTTAGCACGTAGGCTTTCATCTGAGCTTTATTAACTACGGCGAAATATAATTCTTCTAATATCAGCTAGATGAGAGGCTTCGAGATATTGTTTTTTTATCGTCTGTACTTAACCTAGTTAAGGTATGTTTTTTTCAAGAAGAAAAAGTGTTTGTAATCTAAGTTTTATTTATTTCGTAATCCTATAGTTAACATAAATGATATACAACAAAAAACAATGATACTAAGCATATAGCCAAAGATGAATCTACGAAAGGAAAAATCAATAAAAAATATGAAATTCAATTAAGTAATTCGGCTGTGTTGTGTGGTGTGAAAGTCATGGTATGTACGTGAACGACGAACGTGCGTATGTGGGGTGTGCTCATGATGAAATTTTTAAGCATATTCCGCGACTTTTTTTGACGACTTGTTTATCATATTATGTTCGATCATTTATAAGATGTATTTCTATGGTTCTCAGTCAACTGAATAGTAGATTTTTAGCCATCGTTTTAGTTTGTTTTCTTTATTGACTGTCTTCAGATTATCAGAGTGGCCTGAAATGTAGCAACACGTACAATCTACGGATGCAATCACGGCGATAATGAGATACCCTGAAACGCGCTAACAAAGTTATTCAGAGCCTTAAGGATATATTTATTATTACGGAAAGGAATAATATATAGAAAAACTTACATACCACATTAAACAAATTCTATTTCTCCTAAAAAAATAAAAACTACTTACATTCATCAACTACTCGACTTTAACCACTAGGGCCTTCGGGCCAGTCAGTTACAAGACTGATACCCGAGTCCTTTAGTCGGAGGACGACAGCACCTTGCTTCAACATAATTTTTGTATCTAATTAGACCTTTGGGGCCGTTCAAGTATTCCGTAAGCAGATTTACTGCAATTTACCTATCCCCAAATTCACGTTTTCTCAGATTTTTATTCAATCTTATATAAGACTTATTGAATTCCAAGCACGGTCAGGCGAAGCTAATTAACCAAGTTGCTTCTATTACTGGAACTTTACTAGGTACTTTCAAGTTGTACTTCGAGATATCCTTCAAGAGACATTAGTTTACTGATGCGAAAACTTTTAATAAATAAAGAAAAGTCACGTCAAAACTAATCAAGGGTATTTTTAATTAAATGTGATTTTACGTAAGTGTAACCTATATTATATTTTAACTAGCTGACCCGGCAAACGTCGTTTTGCCATGTATATACGTATTATTTCTAGGAATCATTTTTTTAGTTCAATAAAAATAACTATCTACTATAATAAAAAATAGGGGTTGATCTTAGAGGGGAAAATTGAGAGTTATACGTATTTTTCTAGGCTGTATCATAAAACAATAAAAACAAAAAATTGTATCCACCCACATTTAGGAATTTGAAAGATAGATCGTAGCCGATTCTCAGACTTATAAAAACTTTCATAAGAATCGGTTGACCCGTTTCGGAGGAGTATGGGAACGAACATTGTGAAACGAGAATTTTATATATTAGATATTAAGAATGTCTTGCTGGTCCGGGTTTCATCTCTCATAATATATCATATGCAGCAATGGGTAAATTATTTATTTTGCCAACGAGCTCACAAAATGGCCGCTGCCACGGTCAACAGTCATGGCTACATTGCGGTATTTTTATTGGGTTCACTGGGTCTGGCTTCTAAAAGGAAGTATTAAAATAGTTCCCGGAATTCACGTTTATTACCATCTTCTACCTCGAAATACACCATGGTCCCAAAGTAATACTAATATACTTCAATTCATAGTGCTTACGTCCACGGCTCCTGGGACGGAGGCGGAGAAGAGAGGGAGACGGATGCTAAGATGATTCCTCTGAAGACCTCCTAATCCCTCTCCGTGGGAAATGCGGTAGTAGATGCAGAGAGACCCCACATCTCTACGCGAGGCGTAGGAATCAAGCCGCTCGGAAAGTGACTGGTCGTCGACAATTCTAACCGCTCTTCGTTGATTTCGATCAAGTGAAAGGGGCTGGTACTGGGGATATTCCACCCAGAGGTGAGAACAGCACATGAGTGCCGAATTTAGCTTTATACAGTTGCAAGCGGTGGCCCGGAGTGATGTACCGTCTGAGCTTGGTGAGCACACCAAGCTTCTTGGAGGCTAACTAAAGCTCTCCTTCCATATGACCGTGAAACTGAACGTCGTTCGATATGTCAACGCCCAGTAACCCTACGTTGGTTGCGGCTTTAAGACGAGTGTACACATACAACAGATTATTTAATGCTTTTTATTTAAATAGTTAATGAAAATAATATTTTTATAAATAAAGTTAAATATACTATATATTAGTTTTTGTAAATTCCGTTTCTTTGTAAAGACATGTCTTATCTTATTAATTAATGCTTAAGAGAGCCCCTGCGTACGTGTATACTTTTAGGTAGGTTTATTTAGGTAATCGCCACGCTTATTTATTTATTTATACGTTCAAAAACAATGTGTATGCCTAAAAAATATAAGAAAATATGATATCACAAATTTAACACACATACACATCAATTATATTAGAACATAGGCACTACTCAATGTAAAAAAATAAACAAACAACCACCAATTAAAAACTAAAAATTAAAAATCAGTAAAAACTAAAAAGATAAAAAATAAAATAACAATATTAACCAAAACTAAATGAAAACTTAAGCCTCATTAAGAGAGAGATAAACAAAGTTACGGAAACTTGGCAGACTGTTGTTAAACACACCAACACGCTTATAATATTAAGAAAGCTTAGAGTGAGTAAAATGTTCAGACTTGGCACTATAAGAGATCTTACAGGCTAATGTGAAATAGAGACTCGAGGCCTACCTCATTTATTTGATGAAGAGCCATTTGAACTTTCTGCAGGTTACGTTTCGGTTATTCCTTAAAACGCTCGGTTGTGGCGTTCC